TTCAGATATTACGGGTTGTTAGTTATTAATTCCTCCTTGTTCCTACCAAGTCCATTAGATAAGAAAATATTGATAACTTCTCCCCCAAATACATATTCTGTAACAAGGACATAACTCTCTCACTTTGAAATTTCTAACTAGAGCATTTAGAGAAAAGAGAGAAATGTAGAAAATATATACACAACTTGGGTTACCTGGCTGGTTGACAGCATTTTTCTTCTTCAAATAAAAAAAGACAAGATGAGGCATATTTCCTCTTTTACGGTTTTGAGTGATACTGGAAGCCTCTCTTGATCTAGCATCTCTTCTAAAGGAGAACCCAAAAGGTGTAGGAGAAGGTCTGCATAGAAACTGGGGACCTAGTCCTACATTCTCTTCATTAACCTGAGAACCAGAGCCAGACCTAGGAGGGTCTAATTCAGATAGCTGTGAGATAAATAGCACAGTACCCTTTTAAACTAACCAGAAGCTCAAGTTAGAGACCATATTTGTTTTTCGCGTACTGTTAATGGAAACAGACATCAGCTGCAATTCAAACTTTCTTTCTTTGCCCCACAGGTATGTAAACACAGTGCACAAGATTAAGACATTTGCAGCATGTAAATTCAATCACGTGAGAAGTCCCACTGATTTCAGGCAGTGACTTCCTATTGAGTCAGCAAAGCCCTTCTGCCTGTGTGTGATTTTAAGGTGACTAATCTCCCTGGCTGTGGGGAGGGGCATTGGCAGGATGTCCTGCGACCCTGGCCCCCAGCACACGCCCTGGCTGTGTCCTGCCTTTGGTCTGGGACAAGATCCGTGTGACCAGATGCTGTGCTCTCATCCCTGTGTCCAGAGGCAGCAAGAAGTGCACTGTGTTTTGTGAGAGCCTGCAGCTGGGCTGATGGGGGAATGCTCGAGGGGGGCCGTCGCTGCTGCTCCATGGCCAAATGCCCAGCTTCGTGCTGAGTCTTACCCACATGCTGAAAATCTTTGGTAATTTGGAGTGGTACCATATCAGCCCTGGCTCGAAGGAGACTTTCACAACTTCTCTAATGAACCTCTCACAGTCTTTCAATAATGCAGCTATTTATAGGCAAGGTCTATACTGAATAGATTGCAGAAGCTGCACAAAAGCTCACAGTGTTTCAGCAGTGAAGCTGCAGAGAAACATCAGAGCAGACTGAAATCACTCAGTATAGTTACATGCAATCAAATATAATCTACGTTTTGCTTGATTAGACTCACTACTTAACTGAAAAATTAATCACATTTTAACACATTTAGGTAATTTTCTTAGAAGTGAGAGCTGGTTTTGGGAAGTACAAGAATTTTCAAGTCTTAAGATTAAGGGCTAAAGCCTGCTCTTGCTCACAACATCAAATTTTAGGTGTGGCATCAAGTGAAGTTTAACAGAATATCCCCAAGTAGTCAGAGCAGAAATTGGACATTGTCAGAAACCATCACCAACCATCTCATCTTTCTCTTTCAAATTACTCCTTTTAGGCTTTAGCAAATATCCTGGGTCTTGCAGTCCCAGCATGTATCATGAAATGAAAATATTAATCAAAAACTATTCAACCAATGCACTCATGAGAAAGAACTGCTGCTGTTATTTTTATCACCCAAGCCCATTTCATCGTAAATGTTTGTGAGATGTGCAAGATGAAGGCAGCACAAAGCAACAGAACTTTGTGCATATGGCTCACCTGAATCTTCCTTAGAAAAAATCAGAGAAAGAATTTTACTGCCTTGACCTTCCCAGACTTGTGTCTCTCTGACACTTATTCATGAGGTCCCAGTAAAGAGCAGATTTACACAAACATTGCATGAGCTTTGCTCATGAATATTATAAATATTTTCCTGAATTTTAAGGGAGAATAGACATTCAATGCAGGTGTTGGAGTAAGCACTGCAGGCCTTTGGCTTTCACTACTGTGGCCAGAAGAGGGTTTAGTGACACCCTTTAGCACAGAGACTCCCAGCTCTTGCTACCTTCTGTGAGCTAAGGTTTTATCTCTATAAAAGGAGCAGGGATTTCCTCTGGGGATTAGGAGGAGATAAAAACCCAAGACAGAGCTACTATCTCATTACATTACAAAGCACAAGTGGATGAAAAAGAGTCAGTGATTGTCTTTCCTTTTTCTCTTTTGGCAATTGTTTCCTCTTTAGTGGCTCTGAAGAGAAATAAGGTCCCTCTTTTTTAGGCAGGTCTCTAAGAACACAGGCCATAGATGGACTTACAAACCTAACTGCTACTGAGAGTTGCAGAATTCTATATTTATATGGCATTGACACTCTCAGTATTTCTTCTCAGTTAATTCCTGCTTCTGCAAGTGCACTGAGCAGGTCCTTGCTACAGGCATGGGAAAATCATATAACCCCAACCACCAGCACCCTCATCAATGCCAATGGGCCATCTTGAACTAGATTTTTCTGCACTGGTTTAGACTGTTGATACATCCCAGACAGAGGAATTTCACATCCAGCCCTCCTCAGACTTTGAAGGATGAGTTTAGGCTAGGCATATGGATCCAAACCAAAGTTCCTGGTGCAGTGGACTTGTATGAGTAGCATAGAAATTCCCAGAGACCTCTGAACAGAACTATTAAACCATCCAACAGCAGCTCTTTTAACCCTGATACACCCAGATAGTTGGTTTTTTTCCACCTGCTTCATTAACTTTTGCTTCTGAACTGTGGGAAAATGAAGCAAGGCAAGACAAAGACCTTGACCTGATTGTGTAGCTTCATGGCAGGAAACGTGTTAGTGAAAAAGACAATCTTTCTGCTTTAAGTTTTATTTACAATTACACTGGTGGTACCTTGTCTAAAACTCCTGACTGTCTTAAAAAGAAACAATTTAGAAAGGATGACACATTTTGTCTCATGTAAGGTACCAGTGCTCAACAGTAAAATGCGACATCATTAAACAATCAAAGATTTTATTTTCATATTATTAAGATATTTAATTGTAGGTACAATATTAAGTTATAAATATGCTCTATGACAGAAAATAAAAGCAGCTTATCACTCACTGACTAATTTAGAAACTCTTTTTTTCTGCTGGATTTAAAATTTCTGGTGAAATTGGTGAGGAGTGCACTCAGCACATCCTGTTAGCTGAGTCAATTGAAATTGCACCTGTTCTTGGATGCAAGTCCTAACAAATGCAACCCATATACATTGTAAAGAAAAGGACTTGTATGCACTTTTTCCAATTAACATCTGCCTTTTGGCAAGTCATTAACCTATTTTCTCACAAAGAAACAGCTTCAATTGTATTATGCATCTGAAGCGTGCAAAAGTCCCTGAGGGGGTACTCTGACAAAAACATACTGTTCCTGGATCCAATGTGAACATACATATTCATTAATTGTTTGGGGCAATGAGTACAGAATTTCTGATTTTTACAAGTCCTACAAGGTAAACGGGTTACATAAACCTATGTCCCTGGAAATAGCCACATCCTGGCCACTGTCACTCAGTAGAAAAATCAAGAGTGGTTTTGTGCTGTGATACGGCAATTAAAATAATTCAGCAACACTGTGAAAAACCTTCCAGGAAGAAAAAAGAACACTACCCTAAAATAGTACTGCATATTTATTTATTTATTTATTTAAAGAGACATAAATAAAGATGGTAAGTTGTATTTTTCAAATCTCTCATTCTATATGGATGTGTTCAGGACATCCTAAAACGGCAATGAGAACCTATTCTACCAACCTTTTTTCCAGCTAAAAGATTAATATGACCAAAATTTAAAGCTACAGATTTAGATTTCTCACCATGAAGATGATAATGAAAAAACTAATGATTATCTTACATAAAAGCAAGAAACAACAATCCCCCAAGGACAAGGGAATTGTTTAGATGCATTCACCTCTGGGAACTGGTTTTCAAAAATCCTAAATTTATAAAAAATATATCAATATCAAAAAGTGAATGCTGAAGTAACAATTGGTAGCATTTCTTTCAATTTGGAAGAGCGTTTTTAGTTTGAAATGTCTGCTGAAATACATTGCAATGAGCTGCTGAGCTGCTGCAGAATGCTTTGACACTTGAGGAATTTGAAATTGAGTTTCTCCAGAGACAGTCTCCCAGCAACAACTATTGCTGCCACCACCTTCTCTCCCTCAACACACAAACCTTGGGGATCTACTACATGTCATTATTTTAAGAAGTAATTGAGCCATTTTTGCAGTAGCAGGCCTGAAAGCTGGAAGCAGTCTTTCTCCAGCAGGGGGGCCTATTTATATTTAGTATCAGAGGGATAATTTAGCCTGAGGGAAACTGTACTGCATCAGGTACATTGTTCAGCTTCTTTAGAACAAGTTTGGGCTACCAGTACTTCAATGCAGTCTCCAATACAAATCTAATTTTCATAATTATAAGATCCATGCAATTATTTTTTCACAAAGTGCAAAAGCACAACTAAGACTAAACAGCAGTCATTTTCCTCTAGTTTTGTAATTCAAATTAGTCAAATCACCAATAACTTGACAGAGTACAAACCCTAGAGTAAGTGCTTCTGACAGTTTAACAGCCTTGGCAGGTGCTTTTAAAGGAAGTATTTCTGTTCCAAAACCTTATTACAAGTTATATGGATGAAGAGAATAAGAGAACTAGCCCACATCAATGCTTTTTGAAAAGAAACATGTTAGATGGTTGTGGCTGTGTTTTAGGAAAGCCATCACACCTTGAGGAAAATACATCCATCATGTTTTCAACCAACCATGACCAGACATCCTCCCAAGTGTCCTCATGCTGAGTTTCAGTATCAGCAGACCACCCAACAGAATGACAATAACATGTCTTAATTTGGGAATGTTATGTTGGCTCACCAGATGCACAAACAACGGAGGAATAAACTGGATTAAGTAGTAAATGCTCCAGATAATAGGTACTGAAAAGGTAGAGGGATTAGAGACAGGAGCTAAGGCAGAAGGGAAAAATGCAGTAGAGATTTTATTTCAAAATATGGAAGTAAAATAAATATCCACATCTTATTGATTAAATAATCCTGAAAAAAACTTAAAAGAAAAATCTGCAGATTTAAGACATATATATATATATAGTCCACCAAGAGATAACAGGAAATAAGCAAAAATTTTAATAGCTACGTGGTTTTGTCTCTTCTAATGGAGACAAGAAAAAGCAAAAACCACAAAAGTATTTGCAAATTCATAAAGTGAAGTACATATGATCCAAAAGACAACATTTATATAACTTTGTGTTATGTAGTAGTATAAACAATTGCATAATCAAAGGTCAGGCTGGAATACATTTGACCATCCTCTGACAAAAATCTGTGGCCAGGATGCTGCCTAGAAACAGTTACATCCAAAAATTTTATAAGAGATTACTTCTTTGCCATAACCAGCAGAACTCAAGACTGAGCTGCAAATATTGAGTACCTATTGGTAAAAATCAGAGTTAACAAAGGAAGTGAGATGATGTCTGGCGATCTGAAGATGGTTACTGAAAGAGAAAATAAGTTATACAAGAAAAATTGACTTCACATTTCTGTGGCCTGAGCTGCAGTCATATTTACACAGTGAGCTTGTGTACTAAAGTTGAACTCTGCTGATGTAAATGAGGTTCAGCCTGGGAAATGGGCTTTATCTATATAGAGTCAGGTGAGAATTGGATTAAAGTGCTTCCCCATTCCAAGTGTCCTATTTTTCAACAGACATGTAAAGTTACAGAAATGTATGATTACCTAGTTTTGACTGTGGACTTACCACACGTGTTCTGCAATTGACATTTTAAAAAATAGACAAAGAAAATAAATGTTTTCCTTTAAATAAGACCCAAAATCATCTTTCTAAGAATTGCATTTTTATTAAAAATAAAACTCAAATCATCATACACTGCAAAGTTTTTCCTGACTTATGTCAGCATTCACAATGCATTACTTGATCAAGTACATTCACAGCATGCAAAGCTTGAGCACACGTGGACATTCTTATGGGATAAGAATCTTTTGTATTTATGACCTAGATTTTGCAAATTTTTGTGTTTGGTCCAAACATATTCTTCAGAAGTATAAAGCTCATTTTTGTTTTTTATAAATATGAAAAGTGAATTTTGATGGGGATATGATAAGCAGAAGCGTTCAAGTGCATCAAAACTCATGTTTTGCAGCTGGATTCACATAGATGCAATTATAGCTTCAAAGTTAAAGTGACTTAATTCCTGCATTTGTAACTAAAAGTTTTCACACAACATCTTCTTGCAATCATTACTAAAATGTTGAGAAGATAAAGAACAGCACACTATTTTTTGGTAAAACACTTGAGAATATGTAAGGGACAAAGAACACCTGCGGCATTTTTGTATTATGTCTTACTTAATTTAGGTGTTTCAGTAATGTTGTCTTAGCACAAAGAACATTATTTTTAAAAACATCATTGACTGAGTTTAAAAATCTGCAAAGTGGTAATCTGCATAATAACTGCTATTCATCTAAAAATACGTAGTTAGTGGCTTAGCTATATACAAATATCTTGTTAGGTTGAAGTAAGAGTTCTGAAATGTTCAATGAAAATTATTTAGGAAGTTGCAGTTTTGATTGGGTTACACTTCATTAAACAGATAACCAGAATATCTGCTTGCTACCAATGTTTGATTTTTTTTTTATTTCTTCCATTTTTATTACTTTGATTTGATGTTTCTGCTTATAGCAAAATCCAGGGAAGAAACATTCCTTGTGATTTTATGAAACATACTCATCAACATAGCTCATTTTCGTCTTTTATTAGTTCTGTTTTCCCTTAAGCAACATTTTTTGCTGATCTTTTATGCATTCTTTCAATTTATCTTCTGTACAAGTAAGACGTTCTTCCAGGACTGAAATGGTCTGCATGAAGAAGAGAATAATTTTAATGGAGTTTATATTATTCACACAGTATTATAAAAGTGTGCAACATAAGAAAAGTAATTTTAACTCAACAGGAAAAAATACTATAAGATGGCTTCTCCTTAGCTATTCCACTATTTACAACTGTATTTAAAAATTAAGGCTTTGCCTCCATGTAGATTGTCTAAAGGCCTTTTGTTTTCACAAAACGTTTTCACTGAGAAAGAGAAATTCATGCACGTATAATGTAAAGTACTCTGAAATACTATGTGAAAGTTGCATCCATATTCCAATAGAAAAACAGCCATCCCTGTGACCACAAATGATATCTTTAAAAAACTAAAAGAAACTTTTAAGGCATCCCCAAGAACAGGAAGTGAGAAAAAAAATATACTATTAAAAGGCATTTATTCTCCATGATACTATCTTCAGCAGAAGAAGTAGGTTTTTGGACCCAGGCTGGCAGTTTCTTTTACAACTTACTACACAATTAATTTCCAACTCATGACTGGACTCCATATTTCTGAAAAACTGTTTCTTCCTATTTAACATATATATTGCAAAAGAATGCAGGAAAAAAACCCCTTAGCTGCTCCATTTTGAAGTGATTTAATGTCAATATATTACAGACTACAAAGAAGTTTCTGAAGATATAAGCTAAATCTGGACTAAAAAAATGTATTGAGCATTTGCAAACAAGCGACTCAGAGTCACTGACTGAGACTGAGAATTTGTGCAGTTTCATTGGCACAAGGACTTACTGCACTGCTTGGATTCCTACCTAAGGCAACACCTCACACACTAAGTTGGGAAAGGGATTTAATTGTACATTGCCAATTTACTTTGTTCATCCCTTGCTAGTGCATGATTGTTCCAGCTGGAATGTCTGCTAAATAACTGGCTTCTGACTAAACTACCCAGATCTCATTACTGAAAAACAGTGATCTCTTCAGCCAGAGTTAAAAATACAGCAGCAATCTTCATGGTTGTGTACCAGGAAGCTTTCACTTTGGCAAACCCAATACATGCAATCAATATCTTCTGAAAGGAAAACACCAAAACAGTCACTTGACTATATAACTATTCAAAATAACCCCATAGTCTTCAATGTTCTGATTTATGAACATGACTCCAGGCTACTGCTGCCTTTGATAGCACTGTCATTTTGCACTGCAAGTGTCACCTGTTATTGCATACTTACTACAGTTAGCATCTCCAGCTGGCCCACAATGTGGTCCAAAGCCCAGTCCACGGAGGAGGAGATGCCTCTGGGCTGCTCCACACTAAGCACAGCTGACCCACTCTCACTCTCTGCCTTCCTTTTTGAACTTCTTGCTGAGGGAGAATCACAGGGACTCGGCAGTTCTTCACTTCTGCCATCGCTCTTGAATACAGAAACATAATTTGAAGATTCAGCTGCCTTTGTCTTTATTTAAGTGAAGTGTGTATATGTGTGTATATATATGCATCCACACGAGGACTCTCAGATTTGCTTTTTGTACCAGGTTCAATTCGTAACACTTCAATTTTTTCTGACCTAAGAGAGAATTCCAAGAATTCCATCTGTGATGGATGAGGCAATAAGGGAAATCTTAGCAGTTTTTAGGTACACGTTTCAGGTACATACGATCGAAGAGCTATGTGCTGTACCACTAGGGCTTGAATAAATACAATTAATGAGGGGCATTTTCTTCAAAAAGACAGCCCTGGTTGACGAAGAAATTCACTCAGAGTAGTCATACAGATGAAAAATCCGTATGTTACTAGACAACCACAAGCGCTTCTTCCAACTTCATAGTATGAAACTTTTGTTTAGTATGAACTAACCTCTTATTTCAGCTTTTTAAAAAAGTAGTTTTCAGCTGTTTGTTCAGTGATGGTACTTTTTGAAAAATTGATTCCTTCAGAAAATGGGAGAAGGAAACAACAGAGAAGATCCACACAATGCAACGTTGAGAGAAAAAACTTTGATGTGTAAACTTTGCTTCAGGCTAAGTGAGAGAGCATGATCTTCCCAACCAATTTGGTTTTGTCTGTGCCTTGAAGTTCTTAATGGTATTTTTGAGTCATGAAAGGTTAAATCATCACTAATTCATTAGAAAGTCCTTCACAACAAGTTTATCTGAATAATTAATGACTTATTGAGATTTCTTTAAAAACTTCTTGTATCTTCAGACAATTTTAGTTTACTAACACACTAAAATAAATTGAGTAGTCAAGTCTTACTAAAATAATTGTCAAACATTTTAAAAAAATCTCCTAAGTCTCTAAATAATCTTGTAGAATGTAAATTGCTAGGCAGAATTATTAGCAGACTTTTACAAGATCACCTAGATATGTTGATGAGTTTCTGTCAAGAATGATTTACATGTAGTTGACCTTGCCTTTGAATCACATACGATCAGAGACTGATGGTTTAAGTACTGCAAAAATGACAGACTTTTTAAAATACTATCAGACATCAACTATTTTAATTTTAAGTAATACTAAATCATATCAATATTATTGTGAACTTATACTGCTGCATTATCCACAATAACATTCCTGTGTGCTCAGTGCCATTCTGCACAGTCCTGTGTGGTGGGAAACAGCTGAAAGCAAAGACTCTGGTAAGGTAAGAGAGCAAAAAAGGAAGTCTTGCAATCCTCTCTGGGTTAAAAGTTCCATTGTGCAGTTACATTCTGTAGGACAGGTCTCAAGCCCCAGGCAAGAACCCATGAAGTGCAGAGCATGGTTAGGAGAGACAGGGGCACATACCCAGGCATGTACTTCAGACCTTAACTGACGGTGCTACAAAGCCAAGGTGAAGCCATCTCAAGGTTTGATAGTACCATGGCATTCACTGACATCACTTCCACTGATTTCTGTTATCCTAGCATTGTCAGGTAAAGTCTGAAGCAAGAGGGATTATTTCAACCAAAGGAGGAAAGCTATCAATTCAGTAAACACAGCAAATGCTAAGCTAGTAAAAGTCTCACCACTTCTTTCCTACAGCAAAATTGATCCAAACTTCAATATATCAGACAAATAGATCTGAAAGAATGTTTTGTACCTCAGTAAACTGCCACCAGCATTGCAAGTCAGAGTAATGGAAAAGTCCTCTTATAATTTACTGGGTTAAGCAGCAAATTGAGATTTTTCTGCTACATATTCAAAGATTTGGAAGTACAATACAACATAAAAGCATTTACAGAAATAAGACAAAGACCTTGATGTTTGTCAAAACTCAAACAAGATAAGCAAATAACTGAGCTTTCAAAATTTGTAAGAGAAATGAAAAAAGACCATTTCAAATTTTCAACTTATCTAACTTGTGTCCAAAATGGTTATTGTTATCATAGTCTGGAAATTTGTAGAGACATTTTTAAATACTATCAGACATCAAGTATGCTGCTATACTTTTAAGGTTATCTGTTTTATATTTTAGCCTTTCCTAATATCTAACTTTACAATCTCCTCCAGCTCAGCAAAGGTCCAAAATGGCTGAAGTCTAACACAACACTGAAATGCCAAAACCTTGCTGTAAAGGAGTGACACTAGTCTCAAAGATTGCCTTTACTTTTGGATACCAGTTAGTTCACGTCCATCACTTCTATTCAGCACATTTCACTTTAAGTTCCTTTTAAAGAAAGTCTTTCTACTCAGTCTGTTTCAAATGAAAAGTTTCAAGAATTAAATGTTATCTTTTCTTCAAATTAGCCCCTTTCTAAAGTACTTGAAATGCTACCAAGCCATAAGCAACAATTCTGTATGTCATCAGCAATGTAGTAAAAATGTCTCATATTAAAAAAACCCCAAACTATTCTGAGAGTCAAAGCTATAGCTTATTTTGAGAGAATAAATTTTAATAAGGCAATCAATTTTAAATTGTTACTTCTGAGCAAAGCAGAGAAGAAAATTAAAATGTGTACAGTGTTTCCATTCACAGACCATTAGTAATAACATAAACTCACATTTGGGCAACTTCATGCAAGTTACAAATAAGGAGGAGAAGGAACAGATTTAATTAATCAATAGGAAGTTATTACCATGACATTACCAGCGGATGTTCAGCAGAAAATTAAATTTAGCTTATAAAATGATGTCACAAACAGCAAACCATAATTGCACATCTTTGTTTTCTGTCAAGCAAAATAGCCAAAACTCTGTGGGTGGTACTTGATCAATTTGTGAAAAATCTTTACACATAACCTTATCACCTCTGCATGTTCCCAAACGTTTTCCCATGAAAGATTCACACAGCACATAGACACAAACACTGCATCCCAGCCTCCCTTTGCTTCATAACTGTTAAGAATAGAATCTGAGTAAAATGCATCCATATATAAGGATGCCTGAGCAGTTTTATTTATAGAAATTAAAAAAAAAATCCCTCAAGGGAAATAAGAAAAAAAGAAAAAATACAAGTCTCTCTCACACAATTGCCTATCAACAGGCTTCCATCCTCTATGAGCTCCAAATTTGGAAACTACAGACCAGAGTTTCTAAAAGCATGTCTTAGAATCTTATAGTTAAGATGTGCTTATAAAAAAGTGACATTGGTAAGCTTCCTAATGAATCACAAAAATTGGCATAGTCTGCTTTTTAAAATTAAACCTTTAAATTTTGAACACATGGTACATTTGCCTATTAATAGTAAAATATTTCTGATACTGTGATTAAAACAACTACAAATAATTAGTCATTAGCAGAGCATTAAGCTCAAACAGATCAAAGAGCAAAGGCATAACAGAGTAGTGTCCCACTTTACCAGATATTAAATTCCTGTGTATTTTGGTTATTTGAAATCATGGGAAATTTTCAGGAGAAACAGTACTATCATTATCACTACTTTTTTCCTCCTCTTCTGAACTTACCCTCATATAAAAATGGTTCACTGTGGAAATGATAAATTTAACCATTCAAGAGTTGGGGGTTTTTTGCCTGGTTTTTTTTTTGGGGGGGGGGGGGTTTTTTGTGAGGTGTTTTTTTTCTTTTTTGTTTTTTTTTTGGGGTTTTTTTTTGGTTGGGTTTTTTGGTGTTTTTTTGTTGCTGTTGTTTTTGGTTTTTGAGGGGGTTGGGTTTTTTGTAGGATATAATTACTCACAGATCACTTCTTCTGCTTTGAAATTATGTTTTTCAGTCCATGAGTGATCCACATAAAACAGCTCTCTGATCTATTAGTCGAAGACTGAGTATGTTAAATGCTGTTTTATCAGCTCCTAGTGAAGAAAACTTCCCTGTAGTTTCAGCTGATGACAGCACTCTTCATTTCCTCTCCTCTTGCACGCACAGCAACAACTTGCCATGTGCCCACTGTGGCTTGCTGCCCCATGTCATCTGATAAGGTATCTCTGGAATTGTTCATCTGCAAATTTTAATGAAGTTTTGCATTCAAGCAGTAAAATACAGATAAACTATGTGGTGCATCCAGAGCAAAGTTCTACTAAGCACTTCTAGCTTGAGCAGTCCGCTTTCAGAACTTGTAATGCAGACTCTCACACTTCAAAGTCTTTCATGTCATCTTACACATCAGAGTCTTCTCCAGTTTTTAAAAAAATGCCCAAGCTGAAATAAAGAACTTAAAGTGCACTTAACAGAAGTGCATCACATCCAGTCTGACATGGAAACACCTGGAAGGACTCCTGAAGGTAGCACACCCCTCAGTTTAGAGGCTGATCATGAGCAGTGGTACCAGGTTACAAACTCACAGCCAATAAAACAGGCCAAACTATCAGACTCTACTCTTCAGCAAAACAGGCACTTCCACCTTAGATGGAAGAGCATAACACTTGTCTTGAAAACAGCAAATTCAGCCTGAAGCTAACTGAGTTTATAGAAGCCAGGGCAGCACAATGAAAGCAATGAAAACTCTTAGCTTACTTTGGTGGAGTTTTTTATCTAATTATCTGTAAAAATTAACTGAAATCCTGATGCACTTACAGCTATGGTCTGATTAATCAGATTTATTTATTTCTATCAGGATGACAGCTATACTGAATTTAGTATTCCTGCGATGGCATGAAATAATAAACTCCCCTGACCATAGGCACATCTGAAGATATCCTGAAAGTTCTAGGCAAAGAAATTACATCACATTTTACAAGCAACCTTTCACACACATATTGAGAAACTGACTACATAGTTTTCTTATGTCATCTTTTTCCCAGAGTGAGGCTTCTGGTTTGAGAAAACCCTGTAAAACAGTACATCCAATGCACTCAGTATTTTATAATTCCACATATACAGAATCTAGTAAAGAACGAAAATATTTTCTCTGTATTCCATCCATTGAACATATCCATATTCCATATATTCCATCCAAAATGAACATATAATAACCCCTGTTTTCTCCACAAAAACCATTAAAAAATTATTTCTATTTCTCTAATAAAAACCTCTTAG